CCTTTGTAACACCATTACGTAAAGACCCTATTAAAACACAACCACTTTCCACAACTACAAAAAGCTTTTATTTTAAAATGACTCTGTATTCCGATGTTGCAAGTGTGTCTGGTTTTTATTCCGCGACTAGATTACCTTTTCAGGAGAATTACTGTACTTCGTGGTAAGTGCTTAATGAGGAACTAATTAGTTCTCCTCCCAGCCCCTTAAACTCCTACGGGGAATGAGGTCAAAGCCCACTTCCAGGCCCACAGCTGCAGGTGGAGGTTTCCACAGCGACATAGAAGAGCCCCTTTCCCAAGGCAGAGCCTGTATGAGGACACATCTCCAGCAAGGGCTATGCCCTTCACTGTCAGGCACAGAGTCCAAAAAAAACCCACAAAACTCAACATTTATTATAAGGTCTCGCAAAGGAGCGGTTCCAACAAGCGGGGCCACCCACCCACACGTTCATCTCAGCTCCTCCTCCCCGCGCCTTGCGGCCACGCCCCGCTCCCTGATTGGCTGCCCGCGAGGCCGAGGCGCACACCTCCGGGGCGCGGGGCGGGGCCGGGCCGCGGGGCGGGGCCGGGCCGCGGCGGCTCGGGCCTTGCTCCGCCCGCCCCATCTGCATGCCAGCACCCACGCGGGAGCGCCACCGCTCTCTGGGACGCGAGCCTGCAGCGGCTCGGTGGCAGCCTGCCAGTGGCTTCAGCTCCTACCCCTTTCTACAAGAGGCATGGTGAGCAAATTAGAGGTTATAAACACCTCCGGTGGAAGGAGGAAAATTCCTTTGGGCTCTGTAAGGGAACTTCGTCAGCGGCGGGTGTCTCCAGGGTACAAGACGGATGTGCTCGCCCACGCCCCTTAGCCCTGCTGCGCATGTAGGGACCGCACCTTCTGCTGGTCACCATTACGGCAGCGAGGCAGGAAAATGTTTCTTTGGGAGGACCGTCTCTCGCGGCCCCCTGATAAACAACATAAAGCTACTTTCAATGGAAGGGGAAGTCTATTCCTAAATGTAGTGCTGCCAAATCCAAATCCACTGTGAGAGAGGAGGCTGGAAGTAAAATATTTGCGCTCCCAACAGAGAAGCAAGTGAGTTCTCCTACAGGGCTTAGAAATAGAAGCAAGGAGGCTAGGATTCAGTAAAGGAAGTAGAGTCCATCAAGAATGATGCTTTGATGCATGTGACAGGGCTTGTCACACCTTGCAGGGGCTGGCTGCCAGTGTGGTATGGTTTTAAGACCACAGCCCTCCAACAACTCACTGATACCTGAAACTCTATAATTAGAATCTTTCCTTTGGCTTAAAGATTCTCTTTGTCTTTAAATGCAGTAATAAACCTGGGAAGTGGAATATTACAAAAAAAAAAAAAAAAAAGGAATACACACACACACCCTTAGAGAAAGAGAAAAGATTTTGAATCAAAGCTGAGTATTAATCTTAGTTTTACCACTTTCCAGCTCTGTAACTTTGGGGAAGTTATTTATTAGCTTGACTCTCAAGTTCATCAGCTGTGAAATGAGACAAACACCTGTCTCAGAAAGCTGGTGCAAAGCTAAAGTTCAATTATGTATATAAAAGTATGTGGCCCAAACCACACAGGGAGCAGACATTCGGACACTGGTTTTCCTCTCCTTTTGTACAGAGCAGGTCAGAACAAGGGAATAAGTGAGAACAACACAAGGACGCTGGCTCCTGGATGTGGAAATGATGCGAATGTCAGCAAAGATGGGGATGGAGGGCAGCAGGAGAGCAGGGGACCTGGGGCCAGGTAACAGAGTCTGTTTCCCAAATGTGAGATCAGCTCTGCTCCAGGGCATGTGGTGGCTGCAGGCTGACAGGTATTTGCAATGCCGACTGGCTGGCAAGAACATGAACTCAGAAACTAGCCTCCACCAAAGAGCCACACCTCACCCCTCCCCAGGCTCTCCCTTGCTTGGTGTCCAGCTGGGGTGATGAGGTGTTGGGGTGCATCTGAACAGCTGTACTACAGCATCACCTGCAAGAGAGAGGAAGCAGGTGAAGCTCTGACCAGATGGCAGGAGGGCAAGCCAGCAGAAGATACCAAGTGCAATTTCCAACTTGCTGACGCTCAACAATAGCAACCAGATTCCACTGACCTGCAGGCCAGGTGAGCGGGGCTGGAGACCTTCCTCCTGAGTTACCAAGGACTGGCCCCACACCAAACTGTCTTGCCAAAGATGCTTTTCTTTTCCTGTGTGTCCACACCTTCATGCTTACGGATCATCCCTTTGCTCACACTGAAGAGCCAGCCATCGTTGGTTTCCAAAGCACGAACTAAGCAATTTCACCATCTCTCAGGTGAATGAGCCACACAGGGCTAAAAAAGGGGAGGGGCTCTAGAGCAGGCTGATGCAGAAATATATTTTTCTGAGAAGACCTTTGAAATCCAGAAGGCCACTATGCAGAAGACAAACCCTCCAAAAATTCCCTTCTATAATTGCTACCCATAAAAACAAGCTTAGCCTGAATGACAAAAAGGGAAGAGGTATTTTTAGTAATAAACAGTAACCGCTAATACAAGTAACAGTGACATTATTTAGAAACATTAATAGGTCAAGACTCCTATAGCCCTTCTCCTCCCCCAAAAGGCCTACCTGGAGCCCCAGCGGTGTGCACAACATGCTTTGGAGGTCACAGATCTGACAGCATTTACTGCTGCCAGGTTACTGGGGTGACTTAAGCAGGTTTGCTTTTACAAAATTTCAAAATACAAAAGGAAGAAACAATAATAGAACAGTACACAGAAAACTTGTAAGTGGTTTATTGTGGGTTTTTTTCTCCTTAGGCAATTGCTGTGAATGAAGGGCCATTAGTTTCTATTTAATAATCAAGATGAATAATCTTGGGATCATTCATTCTGTGTATTATCTGTAATAAATGTTTTTAATTCCAGTTGACCTTTCCCTAACCCCCTGGTACACTTTTGGGCTTTTCATTCTTCCTTTCTGTGATCAGCTGTGTGCACAAAGAATGTGGCACAATTCTAATACTAGTCTGAGCAAAACCATAATGGAAGGTAAATAAAAGCATCATACAATGCTTGCTTCCCAAAGCCAAGGGAAATGATTGTGGAGTATACACATCGCTGATTATATTCCATCAGTACAGATAATTAAAAGTTGACTATATAATAATATTAAACAGCAGGAACAACTTTTTGAAAATTTCTCCCCAGTATTAGCAATGCAAAAACACCGACTTGAATGTTCAACGCTAATCAAATTCATCTCTTCTTAAGAGCAGTGTATAATAAATGGGTAGCCTAAAAGGAATGCTTTGAACAGAATGCTTCACTATTGTCTGATTATTCTAAATTTAAAACTCCAACAAAGGAAAGGATTATTCTTCTCGAGGTTCAAGATTCACGAGGATTTGGTAATGAAATTCCTTTAGGAGAGCAAATAAAAAAGATTGCTATCTACAAACTGCCCGTGTTTTATATCTGTAGTGTTTTTAAATCAAAGTCACCATTCATTCAACAACAAATGTTTATTTGAATAAATGAATGAAAGAAGAGGGCCTCCAAATACTTTACAAGTATAATCACCTATAAGTTATGAATCAGGCAGCCACTTTAATCATCCCCAAGTGCACAGGCTGAGACAAGTTAAATGTCAGCTCTCATCGAGCAGGCCAAAGCCAGACCTGGAAACTGAAGCCACCTCCTTTGATTCTTAGAAAATGACCCAGCTGTTAGAGCCTGTTGCTTAGCTGCCTCATTGCAAACTCTCAATTCAATTTGGAATGCATGTTATCTAGGCCAGGTGAGGTAAGATTAAGGCAGCATAACAAAGCCGGGCTTGTTCCTGAAATTACACAGGTAGTCCAAAAAGGAGGAAAAGAAAAAAAAGAAAAACCCCCATCAAAAGGCTAAAACTGAACACAAAATTCCTAATATTAACGTCTTCACTCTAATGAGGCACGGAGAGCAAACTAGAGCAAACTGCTCAGTTTGATTTTATACCGAGAGGAAGAAAAAAAAATGTGCCTGCAGGATACTGGATGAGACATGGAGTTCCAAGGTTCCCCAGGGGGCTTCGAGTTTATTCTTCCAGCAGCACTGCTAACACCCATCTTTTTCCATTCTGACCTTCTAACAGGATGCAGTGGAGAGCCAGCCAGACACTTAAAATCTATTTGTTTCAATAACTCAAGAGGAGAAGTACAACCAGGAGATTTTGTCCAAGTGGAATCTATTTTGCAAGAAGAAAATTCTCATGCATTTCAGAGTGAGGGTTCTCAACTAATCCATAAATCTTAAAAGTTTTCAAAATCCACGCCAAGGGAATTCAAGGAATGAATATTACCCCCACACTAAACTGTCCTTTGTGAGCTAAGCAGAAGCCAAGGAACTGGCTTAATGTCTTTTTTCTGATCCCAGGGGAAGGTGAAGCAGAGCTGTCCTGACCCAAACTGTAAAGTAGGTAAAGTTTGTCTACAGGATCCTTCCCCTCTGGCCCCCACAAGGTGCCTCCCCTTCAGGCCCCAGGGGTTTCTGCTCTGAAACACTTTCCCACTTCTATCCTGTCAACATTAACACCAGTGAAACACATTGTTTCAATATGAATATACTCGGGTCAGTGTTTTGCCCTCTGAAAAATACTTGTCCTTTAAAACTTTTGATTTTTTAAACTGAAGAATCGAAAGTTTTACTTTCCTTTAAATTCCAGCATAGGCCATTAGCCAACATTCTGAATCGGGAGATAAATTACAGTAACTCTCTTATTTTTAAAAGCTGATTTCAAAAAAAATAAATAAAAGCTGATTTCACTATTTTAAGGCCCACCATAATGACAGAAACACGTTGAAATCACAAGCTGGGGTCATACTCTGCTATGACCATGGGCAAACTCTGGGAGCCTTAGTTATGCCTTTGTGAAGTAGGAATGATTACAATACAATGTAATGATATGCTAATTATGAGATCATGAATATAAAGTGGCTGGCACATTGCTATCTTAAAGACTATACACTGCCCCCAGAAGGAACACTGGGGTTCCCCGGTGTAGGTGGGTGCAGCCCCCCGGGGCTGATGCTGCCACATCTAAAGGCCATCTACCCAGAATCACAGGGAACTGGTGAGGGCCTGGTTCTTAACAGTTTCAGAGCTTATGGCCCTGGAGCCAGGCGCCCCCTACAGGCAGGCCTGGGACTAGTCATTCTCTCAGACACCATTCTTTTCTCTGGCTCTTTTCCTGCCTGAGGGCATCTAAACCCTTCCCTACACCTCTCCTCTCAGGCCCCCATGTCCCCCGCCACCCCGGGAAGCCAGGATTCTAGGGATACAGCACCAGTCCTCACGGCGCCCCCTCCTCTTCCCAGCCCCCACCTTCCATCCAGTAATAGAATTTTCAGGGGGGTACCTCCAACAGCCCCACAATTGAGTTTAGCCAGCCTTGAGCCTCTGGCAGCCAGAGCATAATTTAAAACAAATTTCCACAAGGAAAGGCAAGTTTTGAGATGTGCAGGTGACCCAGCAGGAAGAGAGGCCCCACCCCACCATAAATGGGGTGAGCTCACCGAAGCCCTAGGCTTGACTCAGGCTTTGTTGGGATGTCTGAGTTGAGTTTCACAAATCACATGTAAACTCTGTGGCAGAGGTTTAGAGAGGCAGGAGAGGGCATGACCACAAGAACAGAACAGGCAGGAGAAGCAGGTGAGGCTTGGAATGCCAAGCGGGGCAAACAGGATACCAGCGGGAGGAAGTTACGGGGCAAAGAGGCATCCAGGCTAGAGAAGGGATGAGGGCAGAGGCGGCACCCACAGGCAAGATTCAGGGCAGGCAGCATGTGCGATGCGTGCAGGCAACACAGCTGTAACATGAGGGACGTGGGCTGAGTCCCCATTGGTCCCTGGGTCTGCTCCAGCGTTTTCTAGGTGGGCATCAGGAGGCACAATCTCCCCCAAAAAGAACAGGACCTGGTGGGAAGGGCCATGGAAGCTGAATCCACAAACCAGGGGTCTCCTTGTCTGGTGCTCTCCTAGGATAAGACTCTATGAAGGGGAGATTGGTAAAGGCCCTTTAACCAGATCTGAGCAATGGGGAACAGTTGCAAATGCTTCCCAAGAGCCCCTCAGTAAAAAGAGATAAAGAATAATGGGATAAAGAAAATGCTTCACACTTTGGTTTTGGAAGAGGAGGGAGGATACAGAGAAGCCCAACGGTGAGAAGGTGAGACCCAGGATGTCTAAGTTATATGTAAATTACACACAGAGACATTATGTATCATATTATGTATCACATCAGAAGAAAGAAAACCCACTAATTATAGACATTAGTCCACAAACCAAGGAGTGAAAAATGATTAAAAATGTTTTAATTGTGTAAAAGTAATACAAATTATAGTCACTTATGTGAACTGCTCCCACTAACAGCCAATTACCATGGGGCACAGTATCAGTGAATTGTAACATGAACCATGTGTTCCATTAACTCACTGTGTATGTTCCATTTTATGACAGCGCTAAATTCTCTTTCATATTGTTCAGGCTTCCTATTTTCTGGTGCATATTAACTGCAGAAGCTGAGCACTAGAATGGACCTGAGGGAGATCCCTTACTCTCACCCTTTCATTTCACAGGTGTGGAAACATGGAGAGGGCATGGCTTTCCCAAAGCCACAGAGAACTAGCTTAGAACAGAGCTGGGGATACAGCTCATGATCCTGCACCCCTTCGGGGCTTATCTTTACAATGCTCTGTGCTTCGACAACACTGTGGGGACACAGTCCCCTCCCCCTCCTTCTGTAAGACCATTTATTTGCTCACAAATCAGGATTATTCAAGACACATGGGAAACAGGTATGATGCTCAGGAGGAGAGATGCTGGAACTCTCAGTTAAGTGACTTTGGGATGACATGATCTTTAGAAGAAACTTAGCCTCTCTTCTGTAAAAAAATCAAGAGTCAGTACAGTGCAGTAGAAAAAAAATGTAGGTGATCAAGTCAGAGACCCTGGGATGAGCGTCAAAGCTTACTAGCTATGTGGCCTAGGACAAGTTACAGAAACTTTCCAAGTCTATATTCGCTTAACCACAAAACGGGCATGATGATGATACTTATTCAAATGAGTTGTGACATGAGATGAAATTATATATTAAGAACACCTTGCACAGTACATATGCTCAATCAATATTCAGTAATCAGTCAAGGCAACTAAGAAAGCCGCAGCATTAAACAGGTGGTGGATACCTGGATGTGAAAGGTGTTTCCAAGGCCAGGGATGTGTTAGTTCATGGATAACCATGGAAAGCAAATTCCAATGTGTCAGTGTCACATTCATGTGCGATTTCAAAATATATTGTCTGTCAGTGTCTGGGGTGGGAAATCTAAGGGGGACTTGCAGGAGCCAGGTGTGTTTCCATCTGACATGTCAAAACACACAAAAATGTCCCCATCTGCCTCATGCAACCATGGTCTATTATTTGGTACCACCCCTTGCTTTACAACAAAATGTGTTCACAGGAAACAAAGGTACCTTAGGTCAAGGGTATCCCCGCATTCATTCCTTCTTAAATCTGTAATGATGGCTCCTTGTCCATTTTTCCCATCCAAAATCTCAAAGACCTCGATCAGGCGTACTAAGGTGGTCAACTGCAGGACTGCACCTCACAACATGCACTTTTGGGGATCCATGAGCTGGTCTGACGTGCCAGGCGGCAGAGAACAGGAAGCAGCTCACTCTACAGACAAAGGCCCCTCAACCCAGGGTGAGGGATTGGTGCAGGATTCTTCGTCTGTTTTCTTATCACGTCTCCTCCCCATATATAATTTTATCAGTAAATGAGAGATTAAAGTCTCATAGGGAAAAAAAGTCAGGAGTTTGTGTCTTAAGTTAAAAATGGATCTCCAGCCCGAACTGCAAGGTGCACAGTGACATTTCCACAGGGGCCACTGACTCGGCCTACAAGCCACAGCATTGAGTCCAGGTCCTTTCACAGAGCTCCAGCAGGCTGCCCTCCCTCTGTTCTAGAATCATCTGTGACCTGGATATTCCAGCAAGCAAGCAAACCAGCTCTACCTATGTCTTCTCCCACTCCCTCCCTCTCTGTCCTTTCCTCCCTCCTTTGCCCTCCTGCCTCTCTCTCCAAGCTGTCTCTTTTTCTGAGCCATCTTTGTTGACAATGATTGAAGCTGGATCAGTGAAGGAAAGAAAATGCAAGTCACTAAATAAAGTTCCTCGGACCCATTAAGCCCCTGGCCCATCCATCCTCTACCCCTGTGCGCTTTGCTACTATTTTGTTGCTTTTGACGACATTGTGTTCAGATGTGGAAGGAACGATTTCTCCACTCTTATTCAAAGACATCGGACGCTATTGTTCTTTGTTTCCTTAAAATATGCTGGCATGCTTGCTCTCCCTAGTAGGAGAGGTCCTGCAAGGATCACTGAAGCTTCTGGGGTGAAGCAATCACGTTCTAGGCTGAAAAACCAGAACCCATGCTGCCAGGAAAAGTCCAAGGGTGAAACGAGCATTATCGCAGGGAAAGTGACTGGCTGCCACTTGGGTGTCCTTCTGTACCTAACAGGAACATTCAGCTTCACACTCGTGCGGACTATTACAGAGATACAGGTGTAGATCACTATAAACAAAGACTGTGTGTCTGACAGTTTACGTGTAAGCCTAACTTTTATAAATCGCTTTATGTGCTAGGTGTCCTGGGGGAGTTCATTATTTAGGAGAACTTCATACATGTTTTATAAAATTCACAGTCCTCTCCATCTGTGTTTTGGAAATTTAAATTTAGGTCTTTAAATTTCAGATTTCCTTTTTTTTTTAAGATTTTATTTTTAAGTCATCTCTACACCCAACGTGGGGCTGGAACTCATGACCCTGAGATCAAGAGTCACACACTCCACCGACTGAGCCAGCCAGGCGCTCCTAAATACCAGATTTTCTTCAAGAAGGCTCTCCCCCTGCCCCACTCTGCATCAATCTCAACATCACTAACCAAAGAATGTAAATATAGGAGAAAATATGCACAGTCTGTGCTGGAAAATAGAGCAGGGCACCAGACACATGCCGTCATTTTAAAGACATTTTTGCTTGATAGAACATAAAAAGTGTAATGTAAAAGGCTGATCCACAGATGGGACTTGTGATTCTCCTTGAGAAAGTACTGCAGCACTGTTGAGGAGAAAACAAGCAGAGATCCTGACAGAAACTTGTGAGTACCATCCTAAACTGAAGGAATGAAAGCTGGAAGTGATAGCTGATAGGAAACAAAGCTACTAGCTGGGCTCTGGATCACAGGCAGTCAGAAGGTACAAGAGTAGAAGAACCTAGCATAAGCACCACCATGACCAAGGTTACCCTACCTTGGTGGGTGGTCTCCCTGCATAGCAGGGCCCTGACACCAGATGCATTCAGTCAGCATCACACAGGGTATGTGGAGTGAGAGTAGAGTCAGGGAGAAATCTAGGACCAGGAAACTATTGCATTAAGTGGCTTCACCTGACACAAAGCAGAAACCCTGCAAAGAAGAAGAACAACAAACAGAAAGTGCCCATGGCCCCAGCTCCCTCCCAGTCTGCACAGCTGCTAGACCACATATGTCACTTGGTAAATTTTAACCAAGCCTCCAGCTTCCGATTGAGAGAAGGAATCTTATCTTTTCCAGAAGGTATGGGATCTTTGAAGAACAAGTTCCAGGCTGGGCTAGACCTTTAACCATTCAATGATGAGTAAGCCAAAACTATGCAACATTGGGCCGATAATGACTTGTTGATAATACAACATAAAACATCCAAGAAATGAAGGAATAAGAGAACTTTGAAAAAAAGTTACTACTGGAAATAGAAATAAGTTTCAAACAAGATGTGATTTTTGCTTGGGGCACCTGGGTGGCTCAGCCGGTTAATCGTCTGTCTTTGGCTCAGGTCATGATCCCAGGGTCCTGGGATGGAGCCCCACATCGGGGAGGGGGGCGGTCCCTGCTCAGTGGGGAGTCTGCTTCTCCTTCTCTCACGGCCCCTCCCCATGTTCATGCTCTTGTGCTCTCTCTTTCTCAAATAAATAAATAAAATCTTAAAAAAACGGATGTGATTTCTGCTTGCCAAAAAAAAGGGGGGGGGAGGGGGAAGAAAACCCAGACTCTGGAACAGGACATGAAAGATTAAGATAAGAGACCAAAAAGAAACTGACTGAAATAAAAAAAATAATTAGGAATGTTTTCAATTGTCAATTTTCAAAAGTATAATTTAAAGCTACTTTAGGGCCAATAACAAGGAAAGACAACACTCAAAAGTCAAATCAGTGACGTGAAGAACAAACTTTAAAAAACCATACCAAATGGAGAGCAAAAAGACAAAAAGGTAGATGATAATGGATACTGAAGACGGAAGAGGAAGCCAAGATATAGATATTTGTGGTTCCTGGAGTAATCAGAACAAACATCACAGAAGCAATTATTACAGATACCATGTAAGAAAAATTTTCTGAACTGAAAAAATACCTGGTTCCCAGACAATGAAAAAAAAAAAAAAACTCACTCTGTACAAGAAAACAAGGGAATGAAAACAGACATAGGTACATCTCCATATGCACATATATAAATTAAGGAAAACTGTCTTCTATTTACTTTGCAGTGAAACTTTTGAATTCTGAGGTCAAAATAAGATCGCTAGCATCACATGAGGAAGGAAAAAAATATAGGTACCCAGGTCACTAAGATGGAAGAAAAATCAGGTTGGCCTTAGACTTCTAGTTGGCAACAGAAGAAAGCAAGCGACTAACTGCATAGCTCTGACAGCAAAGGATGTTGATACAAGAATTCGAACAAGGGGAACGTGGGTGGCTCCACTGCTTAAGCGGTTAGGCATCTGCCTTCGGCTCAGGTCATGACCCCAGGGTCCTGGGATGGAGCCCCACGACGTGGGTAATCTGCTTCTCCCTCTCCCTCTGCCCCTACCCCGCCTGTGCTCTCTCTCTCTCTTGCTCTCAAATAAATAAATAAAATCTTTAAAAAAAATGTAATCACACCACAGAAACGGCAAACAACTGAATGTAGTTAGAGAACAATACAGGTTATCTAGATAATTCTTACAAGAAAATTTGCAAACATTTAAAAAATAATGATCAGCTGAATCAAAATATCTATACATCTATTTTTTTTAAAAGGAAGAAGAACCCCAAAGGAGAACAAAGACGTGTTAATCTCATCTGTCACAAAGAGAAGGTATGGTCAACAAGCTTCTTGACATTGTTCATATAGAAGAAATACAGATTTTTTTTTTTTCAAATTTAAGAAGAGAACTGAAAAATTAAACATTGTAACTTGAAAACTGTCAGAGAATCTCTCTTATCACATGGAAATGGAAAATGGTGGAAACATTAAGGAATCATAAAAGGAAAAAGAATAAAACTATGACAAGAATGAGAACGAGTAGATCAACATTGAAGATAGGTATTAATTCTCTTTTAAGAAGTAAAAGAATTTCTGGTGCAGTCATAAATAAGAATGACTTCTATGCTTTCTGAAAGAAACCTATAATAGTGAAGAGAAAGAGGATTGGGGCAAAGGAACACCAGGAAATTGCACAGTGAAAAGCAGTATGTTAAGGGCGCCTGGCTGGCTCAGTTGGTAAAGTGTGTGACTCTTGATCTTGGGGTTGTGAGTTCAAGCCCCACCTTGGACACAGAGATGACTTAAATAAAAGTATAAGAAAAAATAAATAAAATGGAACTTTAAAAAAAAGTGATACATTAAAATAAAATCAGAATTAAATATTTAAAGCATTTAAACAGGAGTATCAGTGTTTACTGACAAAGGGTACATTCAAAAGAAATGTTCACACTGTAAGTCCCAAGGGGCGCCTGGGTGGCTCAGTTGGTTAAGCGTCTGCCTTCAGCTCAGGTCACGATCCCAGGGTTCTGGGAAAAATATCCCAAGACTAGAATACATTTGCTGCTAGTTAATCTAATGTTCCAAAGAATGAACAACTAGACCAAATTAAAAAGGAGAAGTAGAATAAAACAAAAACATTAAGGATATTTTTTAATTTTAAGAATATGTAAAATTTGACTCTATGTTAATAAAATTTTAAATACGGAAATGGCAGATATTGTAGAAAAGTTAATGTCTTGAATATTAATTCGAGAAGTAAAAATCTTGACCAGAAAAATTACTGTAGAAAAATATTGTGTGTGTTGCGCAGAGGCAGGGGGGTGGGCTTTCGTAATACAACAGGAAAAGGACCTGAGTTAAATAATTTGGGGGACAAGTAATTTCAAAGCTTCCAGGCATGGACATGATACAGGGTTTACATAATGCCATTCACAGCATCACTGATTCAATAGAAAAAGTTATCATTGTTAAAAATGCTGAAAAGACGTTTAAAAAAATATTCTGTGGGAAGGGGTATTGAAAATCAGAATAGAATGCTACTTATTTGTCATAATAAAAGATATCTGCCATAAACCAATAGCCAACATCATATTAGAAGTTAAACAGAAAGAGTCAGTAATTAAATTCAGGAATGAAGTCAGTGTACCTGGATCTACCATTGTTATTTAACATGGCATTGGGTTACTCTAGAAGAAAAAAAAAATGAAAATTAAAAACATTACAGTGTAGGAGACAATATTTCCATTATTAGAAAAGCTATTATTGGGGCGCCTGGGTGGCTCAGTCAATTAGGTTTCCGACTTTTGATTTTGGCTGAGGTCATGATCTCAGGGTTGTGAGATCGAGCCAGGTGTGCAGCTCTATGCTGGGCTGGCCATGGAGCCTGCTTGGGATTCTCCCTCTTCCCCTCCCCCTGCCAAAAGAAATGCTATTATTGCCTGTTTAGACCATCTGAGGGAATTAGCAGAAACACTACTG